CGCACTGCAGCAGTGCGCCACCGGGCCGACCCTATGCTGTTTTCTTTAACCAAATTGGCATTTTGTGGTATTTGTGTTATCGTTCTTCATTGTTACCTGTTACCTTTTTGCTATTCTCAGCATACTCTTATTTTAAATCACTGTGGGCCAGAAAAATAAATGAACAATCTTATGCCTGAAATCATTGACCAGTGTTTGCATTTTCAGTTCCCTCTACTTGGAATGCTGTTTTCCTGGGGCCTGTCCACCTTTCATCTCCTTCGAGTCCACTCAAATGACTCCTTCTTAGTGAGGCCTTCCTTGACTACCCCATTTAAAATTACAGCATGCTTCCCTCCCCTGTACTTTTGATGCCCCTTTTCTTTCATAGTATTTATTATCTTCTAACATGCTTTATAATTTACGTATTTAATATGTGCATTGATTATAAGTCCCATGAAGGCAGAGACCTTTATTTGTTTACTGCTATATCCAACCAAGAGCATTGGACTGGTGCCAGGCATATAGTAGTCTCTCAGGACTTTCTCAGGTCATACCATTCATAAGTAACATCCTGTGGGTTAAGTGTGATATTATTTTATCTGATGCCTTCTTAAATCAAAAAGCTCTGCCTTTTCCCTCCCAAACCCACTCCAGCAACTCACTCAATAGAAGAAACAACAGGAAGGCATGACCAGCAGGGCCCATGTCTGTCTTCAGGACCAGCACTTCCTGCTTCCTGGACTCAGGCTCCCAGAGAGAGGCCAGCTGGGGAGCAGCTGGAGAAGGCGGGCAGGACCAGCTTCTCTTCTGGGTGGATTCCTCTGCTTCACCCCCTCGTCTCTTTGGTTTTCACCCCTGGCCAGACACTGAAGAAGTGCTGCTGCAGGACCCAGGGGGAGGAGCTGGGGCTGAGGCGCCCCCTGCTGTCCTGGAAGAGTAGGATGTCTGGACTTTCTGCCTGTGGAGGTGAGGAAGGGGTAGATGGAGTGGCAGCTCGAGGGCACTGGAGGTAATCGGATCCTGTCTCTAGCAAGGAGATGGAAGGTGGACAGGATTGTTCAAAAGCAAAAAATGGAAAAGAAGAAATTAACTCAGTACCTGGTTAATTTTTTCTGTTTTTTTGGCAGAAGGGGGAGAGGTTCTCCTGTTTGTTATAGTGATAGCCATAGAATATACTGCAAATCAGGTGTCCTGGGAAATAGACTCTAAGACAGAGATTTGTAGGTAGGAAGTTTATTGGAGAGTAGTCTCAGGATCAGCACCTCCGGCAGGGAGTTGGGGGTGGGTGGAGAGAGCAGGATTGGGTAGAGAGAGAGTTGAACTGTAATGCATTTGCAACAGACCTTAGTCCATCCCACAAGTTGCTCTGGAGCTGAGGTGGCCCTTCAGAGAGGTCCTGAACTGAGATGAGAGGAATGGGCTCTTAGATCTCTGTGTCACAGGATGCAGGCTGCCTCCAAAGAGGGGGCAGTGAGATGGCTCTGTTGGCAGTTCTTGGGATAGGACTTAGCTGTGAACTGTCAGCAGCTGGCACTCCAAGCTGCTTGGGAAAAGAATGCTGCAGGTCTGAAGGGGATCTGGGTGGCACACCACAGCACCTGCTATGGAATTCTTCTCTGTGCCCTTTAAGTTTTCTGTACCAGCTATTTGTAGGGTATTAGGACTGTGGAGGCAGAATTCAATGAACTATTAAAGCACATTATTGCTATCTTATAGCTTAAAATATTGGGAGGCTTGAAAGAAACACATGAGTAGTTAAAAAAAATAATAGAAGACCAGAAAGTGTAGCTATTTTGGTAAGGATTATTCAGTTACAGGCAACAGAAGCTCACTTAAGCTGGTTTAAATCCAGAGGGGATTGTTTTGAAGATACTGTTTTGGGCTGTATTATGTCTCTCCAAAAATTTGTATGTTGAATCCCCAGTATCTCAAAATGTGACTGTATTTGGAGATACGGTCTTTAAAGAGGTAATGATATTAAAATGAGATCATTAGGATGGGCCCTAATCCAATACGAATGGTGTCCTTATGAGAAGAGGAAATTTGGACACAGACATATACAGAGGGAAAAGATGGCCATCCACAAGCCAGGGAGCACTAGAACAAATCCTTCCCTGCAGCCCTCAGGAAGAACCAGCCCTGCGGGCACCTTGATCTTGGACTTCTAGCCTCCAGAACTGTGAGAAAATAAATTTCTGTTGGTTAAGTCACCCAGTCTGTGGTACTTTGTTATTGCAGCCCTAGCAAACAAATACAGATACCTGTGGAACAGGAACATGGTAACAAGGACATCTGGAGCTATCACAGGACAGACCTGAAGACCAGAGATGGACAGGAGCTCTGAATCCATGATAGCTGGAGAGCACATAGCAGGAATTTAGGATCTTCACTCTGGTTCTCTGCCGGTAGTATGGCTCAACCTTCCACACTGTTTCTTATAACCCACTATAAACTGTGCAAGGATTTCCTTGTTTTCAGTTCAATTTCCCAAGAAGTCTTATTTGTTACAGATTTTTTCTTACCAGGATATAGGTTCATGGCTATGGATTAGTTGTCTTTGGGGTAAGTGTCCTTATGTGAGAAGGAGAGCATATGGGGATGCAGAAATATGGCCAGCTAAGCAACAGGGACTGCGGTGGCAGGGCAGACGCCAGGTATGCTGTATCTCAGTACAGGAGCATAAAGATGTTCACCTCTTTAAATACATTTTTTAAGATTTTAAAAATGGATACTTGGAAAAAGAATCAATTCTCCATTAACTTGTTTATGACTGCCATGCTATAAATTTTTACCACATTTATGTTTTTCAGATCTACTTGTCTTCATTTGTGTCTGCTCAATGGGGATGAAATAATCT